GTTTGGCAGCTGTGGGATTAGTGGGAGATTTATGCCGTGCTCTACAATCTAACATTTTACCTTTTTGTGATGAGGTAATGCAGCTACTACTGGAGAACTTGGGGGTGAGTTATCTGCTCATAATCTGCTTAACTAGTTATGAAATTTGAACATTAGATATCTGACAGGAAGCTGTAAGTTCTGAGAATACTGGCTGTGAGGTTTTTAAGAAGGGAATTGTTTTCAGATGATTCTAAAGGTTGCAAAGTTAAATGAAAAAAGGAATGTGCTCGGTTTGGGGGCAGGATGTCATACAAAGGAAAAGTATATATAGTCTCTGTCCAGAAATAACCAACATGAATTTCTGTCTGTTGGACCACATAAGTTGTTAATTTTTTTTTTTAATTTTTTTCTTATCAGAATGAGAATGTCCACAGGTCTGTGAAGCCACAGATTCTGTCTGTGTTTGGTGATATTGCCCTTGCTATTGGTGGAGAGTTTAAAAAATACCTAGAGGTTGTGTTGAATACTCTTCAGCAGGCCTCCCAAGCCCAGGTGGACAAGGTAAGCTTGAAGCTGTCCTGGTACACTGAGTCCATCTCTCACTGGAACAGAGGGACTGTTTTCATACCTATCCTTAAAGAAAGGTTATTATCATCATGGAAGTTCTGTTCTTTGTCTCTTTCAGTCAGACTATGACATGGTGGATTATCTGAATGAGCTAAGAGAAGGCTGCTTGGAAGCTTACACCGGAATTGTCCAGGGATTGAAAGGAGATGAGGAGAACGTACACCGTTGAGTATACAACTTACAGCCTAGCTGCCATGGAGACAAATAGGCTTTGTCTTACCTCCTGTAGCCAGCTTATTGGTGAACTTGCAACTGCTACTTAGAGGAATAGGGAACAGTGCAGTGCCTAATGAAGAGTGCTTAGTGCCTAATGAAGAGTGCATTGGGAAGGCTGTATATATACTTTACTATTTCTACCCTCCTTCCTCTCCTCCTGTTCCTTTGTCATACATGTGTATGTGGGGAGAAATGTTTCATACTCGGGCTGAAACTCGACTTGTATATGTTAGGCAAGTGCTTTATCATTGAGCTGTACCTTATCCCTGCCTTGAGTATTGCAAAAGATGAGATCCAGCAAGTCTGCTGGAAAAACTACAACAGAAAGCTGATTGTTTTCTATACCAGCCATGAGTGGCAGGTTTTGGTGACTCACCTCTACATTTTGATTACTAATTGAGTTGTACATGACCTCTTTGTCAGTGGGGCTCAGATGAAAAGTTTTACTTGTTGCTTCTATATTTGTTCTGCTTGTAAACAGAGGAATAGTTGTGTCTTCTGTAGACTTGGAGAAAGACAACCTAATCTGAGGTAGAATAATTGCTATGTTAAAAGGATATCTGGCCCTGTCACATACAGTACAATTCACTAAACTTTCTCTCTCTCTCTCTCTCTTTTTTTTTTTTAATAGCGGACGTAATGCTGGTACAACCCAGAGTAGAATTTATTCTGTCTTTTATTGACCATATTGCTGGAGATGAGGATCATACAGATGGAGTAGTAGCCTGCGCTGCTGGACTGATAGGGTAAGTTGAGTGTGCTTTCAGTAGTTGAGTAGGTTCTCTTAGAAAATGAGAAATGTGCAGGAAAGAACCTTGAGAATAACGTGAATAGTAGTAATCCACTCCCACTTCTTTGGCATAAAGATTGTCCTTTCTTTTCTTTGTTTTTGTGCCGATCCTGGGACTTGAACTCAGGGCCTTGGGCAATATCGCTAAGCTTTTTGCTGAAGGCTAGCACTCTACCACTACCTCCAGCTTTATGGTAGTTAATAAGAGATTTTTATTATTTTTTTTGGTCCAGTTTAAAGAAGTACGTGAATGCTAAGAAGTGTGCAGTTAGCTCAGCACTGGTTTGGCAGGCTCAAAAAACTTGGTGCTGTGCTGGGCTCATTTTTTGCCAGTCCTGGGCCTTGAACTCAGGGCCTGGACACTGTCCCTGAGCTTCTTTTGCTCAAGGCTAGCAATCTACTACTCGAGCCACAGCACTACTTCCGGCCTTTTCTGTGTATGTGGTACTGAGGGCTTCATGCATGCTAGGCAAGAACTCTACCACTAAACCATATTCTCAGCCCATGGGTGCTTTTTTCTTTTTTATGCAGAGATTTATGTACAGCATTTGGAAAGGATGTACTGAAACTAGTAGAAGCTAGGCCAATGATCCATGAACTGTTAACTGAAGGAAGGAGATCGAAGACTAACAAAGCAAAAACTCTTGCTACATGGGCAACAAAAGAACTGAGGAAACTGAAGAACCAAGCTTGGTAAGATCTTGTCTTCAAGTCTTCTATCTTGGGAGGAGGTTTTTGTTGTTGTTGGTTTTTTGGTTTTTGGTTTGTTTTTTTGTTTTGGTTTTGTTTTTTTGGGTAGGCTGTTTTGGCAAGGGCTGACTTCATTTTGGTTTGGATTTGGGGATTTTTTGGTCCTGGGGCTTGAACTCGAGGGCCTGGGCACTGTTCTTAGTTTTGGTGCTCTAGGCTAGTACTCTTCCACTTAGAGCAACATTTCCACTTCCAGCTTTTTGATGGTTAGTTGAAGATAAGTTTCACAGACATTCCTGCCTGGCTGGCTTTGAACTGATTCTCAAATCTCAGCTCCCTGAGTAGCTAGGATTATAAGCATGAGCCTGCCAGCCTGTCATTCCTTGAGCCAAATATTTGTTTCTTCATGATGTTAGAACTTAATTTCAAAAATTTTCACACCCCCATCCTTTATAAAAATCATGGATAAAAGCATTTTCCATAGTTTGTTGGTTGTTTTTGTTTGTTTGTTTTTGCGGGGGAGGTGTTAGTCATGGGCTTGAATTCAGGGCCTGAAGTGCTGTCTCTGAGCTCTTTTGCTCAAGGCTAGCATTTTAACCACTTGAGCCACAGCTCTACTTCCAGCATTTTGGTGGCTAATTGGAAATAAGAGTCTCACAGACTTTTCTGTCCAGCCTTGCTTCAAATCAAGATCCTCAGGTCTGGCTGGGAAGGTGGCTCAGTGGTAGAGCGCTTGCCTTGCATGCATGAGGCCCTGGGTTCAATTCCTCAGCACCACATAAGCAAAAA